GTTATTCGTTTATATTACGGTCCAATACCCTCCATCACCGTCCAATCTATTTGATAAATGGTGATATTCCACATGGTCTTGCCAATAACATGACCATATGGATGTGCAATTTATTTCCTGATCGGATAAACTATGACCATGGGGCCTTTGCCTGAACTACCCTTGATGTAAGAAGATATTGGAAAAGTTTCCCAAGCAACCTACTATGAGAGGATACTGGAAAAGTTTGATATGAGTATGTGGAAACTCATGTCTACCCCAATAGACAAAAAGATGAAGCTTAGTAATAAAAGCCATGGAGAAAATGTCATATAGGAGCGCAGTTGGGTCCCTTATGCACGTCATGATGAGAACAAGGCCTGATTTATCATTCGTCATGAGTCTAGTGAGCCGTTTCCAAAGCAATCTAGGAGATGAGCATTGGAAAACAGTTAAAAGAATTATCAAATATTTAAAAAGGACCATGAACTATGCGCTCACATACAAAGGGGGAACTGAAATAGCAATAGATGGATATTCAGATGCAAGCTATCTCGTGGATCCAGATGATGCGAAGGCTACATCTGGGTATGTGTTTATGCTTAGAGGAGGTGTGGTTTCTTGGAAGTCAAAGAAACAATATATTGTGGCTTTGTCCACCATGGAATCCGAGTATGTGGCATGTTGTCTAGCATCCAAGGAGGTCGTGTGAATTAAGAAGTTTTTTAATCAACTTAATTTTCATCCTATACGTTGTGAGGCAGTACGAATTTTCTACAACACGACGGCTATTTGTGTCTTTAAGGAGCCTCGGTTTCACAAGAATTTCAAGCATATCAAATCATTCTTCTATCACTTGAGAAATGAGGTGAGATTGAAAAAGATTGAGATCAACTACACATCTACATATGTGATGATTGCAGACTCTCTGACTAAGACAGTTGTCCCTAATATTTTTATAAGACATGTGAGAGAGATGGGGATGAGAGAAAGTGAAGAAGAGATAATATAAGGGGTTCAAAGGTCAAGTGGGAGATGTTGGGTTTATGTGGCCTTTAAAGACCTTATGAGTGTGTAATGAAAAACATTTATTATAGTGGAACATAAACTTAGTAGGATTGTGGTCCCTCGAGGACCATACTAAGCAAATAATGGTTGCTGATATCGGACTGTGCATGAGATCAGAGCTTATGTCAGGATGAGTGAGCCGAGGGACTATGTGACCATTGTGTGTGATGGTAGGCCTATAGAGTCGGGGGCCAAAATCTCATCCATGTTTCATCACACGACATGCATATCGATAAATCGTTTGGGAAAGCCAGTTATCCACCTTTTGGGTGAAGCGTATGTATGTGCAAAAAATAGCTCTATGCACCATAGAGCTATGGTCACATCAGGTCGTGGTGACCTTGACTCGTCTCTAGGGGAGGACCTATAATCCACAGACTGGGATTTTGACCCCTTGACTCATCGGGCAGACTTTGGTGACCCGCTAATGAGCCCCTGCTTAAACTGTGGGTAATAGGAAACACTGGGTCGATTTGATAAAGCAAGTGTGGTCAGTAGTCCGCAGTTGAAGGTGGAGTACCCCATAATTATATATTGAATTCCTAAAAC